TATATATATATATATATATATATATATATATATATTAAAAAAAAAAACAAAAAAAAAACTCAGCGCTCAATAAACATTAAATTACCCCCCCCAAATTACTTTTATGTATAAAACTTTAAATTATTTTCATGAGTAATACATGATGTGTAAGTACAATTTTAAAAAGTGTCATTGACAGTGAAGTGCAAATCACCCGATTTAATCGTTAATGTTATTTATTATTTTTATGATTTTGAATTTTTTTTTAAAAGAGATAAATATGTTAAAACACTGGTGGTCTCAAGCACAGTGTTTAAAAAGCAAAGGACGGAGCTAACTAATTACATCAATAACAGACTGCCATCTTGTGGCAAGTATGATCATTACTTTGCCTCAAAAGGCAGTCTTAAAGGAATAATTCGCACAAAAGTTCAATTTGTCATAATCGATCCATTTATTCAAAGATTATATAACATGTTTCATAATGTCACTAATTAAATGTGTCCACTAACAATATCCAACAGTGTACGCTTATACATACACACACACACAGGTTTGTTTTTATGGTTTATGCACTGTAAAATCCAATAGTTTACCTTACTTAGATTTAGTTAGTTATCTTTACTTAGTTGCTATACTTACTAGGTTTTATTAAGTTACAGCTACTTTCAAGGCAAATAAAACAATTTACTTACTGTTTTGAGTGACACTTACTTCAAATATTCAAGTAGCCACAAAGGAACCAATGACATTAATAAAGCAGTGAGAGGCAGCAGTGCACTAATATGTTGCTAATGTACAACATAACAACAGCAGAAGAAGAAAAGAAAACGAGTCTTAATAGACTTTTCACTCATTTCCTCCATGTCTGCAATTATCTTTCAGTAGTTGCATTCACTCGTTTCCCAAAGTCATCTTGAATGTTGAATTCTCAATACAACTGAAATATTTGAAAGAACATCACATAAGCTAACTTCATAAATTGATGTTGATTTTCCTAAAATGTGTTTTTTTTAACTCCCCATGATAGTGATTAGCAGTCCCTTTGGTTGGGCACTTTGAACTTGGTTTACCTTACTATAATTATCTTCCTGTTAATGTAGTAATGCATTATGAAGTCAGAGTTATTTGATTTCAAAGGAAGAAAAGTAATATTTAGGTTGCTTTTAGAAAGTGACCTATATTCTAATTAAAGGATTAGTGCATTAGTGCATTAATTGTGTGTTCATTAATAAACTTTATCAAAATTTATTTTTTTGTAAAGACCCTGAGATGCATTTCTTTGGGTTTATATAATTCTTAAATCCTGTGTGGTAACATGCTAAAGTCACACACAGACTTAAACATTCAGCACGTGAACCACAACAATGGTAACAATTCAATTTAATTTATTACTTGTAACAATAGCCATTTTATTTGCTCTTTTTGTTGTGCTGCTACTGACACAAGACAGCAAATAAAATTGTCAAATAAAATCAACAACTATAAAACAAAGCAACTGCATAATTTATTCATACCGCTTATTGCTCTTTTATTTATTTTGATTGCTTCCATTGTCCTCATTTGTAAGTCGCTTTGGATCAAATGACTAAATGTAATGTAATGTAATGAAAATTCCCACCACAGTGTCATCTCCACCACATCAGATCATGTATCATGTATAACAGCATTCTATGATGGAAATGATGGTGACTGAACATTTGCACATTTTGGAATATAAATGTCTTGCTAATTTCACAGCTGGCATTTTATATATTCTAAATACACAAAATATAATATTTTCACATTTTTGAACAAATCGAAGCTTGGAAGTGATGCATAAAAAGTGATGATGTCTTCTTGGTAAGCAAATACTCTAACTTTCCCCCAAAAAATTGTTTTTAATTCATATATAATTTTTTTTTATATATATATGTTTTTTATAAACAAAATTCATATCTTTTTCATTAACTGTTCCCTCCTGGTAGAATGACCTGCCCAAATCAATCCGAGCAGCTGAGTCCTTAACCATCTTCAAGAAACGACTAAAAATACATCTGTTCCACCTTTATTTGGCCCTCTAACTCTAGCACTTTCTATTCTATTTTAATTCTACTTTATCTATATTTATCTTCTTTTTTTATTCTTTATTTAAAAAAAACAACAAAAAACAAAAACTAGTTTTCTATTTTTTCTATTCTATCTACTTGTTTTCCTTTGTTTGTGTGTGTGTGTGTGTGTGTGTGTGTGTATAATATATATATATACACATTGCTAGGCTAACCAAGACTTGTCATTTGCACTTACATATTGTAGCTCTTTTGTTAGTTTTGACTGCTTTTATTGTCCTCATTTGTAAGTCGCTTTGGATAAAAGCGTCTGCTAAATGACTAAATGTAAATGTAAATATTAAATACTTTAAATTCACAGCCCCTGGTCATACACCAGAGCAGTTCTAAAATAATATGAATATTATATCAAATATTATACATTATATTGTATTTGGAATTGAACTTTACTCTTTGAAATGAGCTTTAACTTCCAATGCCAGAAGTCTGATTAAAGAGATATCATAACCCCATTTTGCGTTCTTAGAAATTATAAAGTCTGAGGATTTATTTCATCACAGACATTGTGCAAACAGTCTGACTGTTATTTCCAAATATGAGTGATGTTGTACAGTCAGGTTGCATCTGTGAATGTGCAATCGCAGTTCAGAGCCAATCCAAAGAGATCTGACCTTGAATGTCATTGCACTCTAATTGATTAGAAATATACTTTTAGATCATATTTATCTGTCCATGTATATAGCTTTTCAATGCTGTAGAATCCTAGGCAAATAAAGCATGCACATTTAATGCAACATTGGTGCATATAACCTCTTTAGTTAGGCTATCAGATGATACCTTCTTCATGTACGATACAGTTTTGTCACTTGAAGATATCTTGTTTGATTTGAGAAATAAATCCCTTGTGGAAAACAAGTAGAATACACTGTAAAATGTTGTAACCTGCAACTGTTCCCTTAAAAGAGCTATATTTCTACCTGATTTAACCCATACATTTTTGTTGGTATAAGTTAATGTATTGAGGTTGATTCAGTGGTCTTAAATAATATTTTAGACTTGAATTAAACCACAGATACTTTTACAATTAGTACTTATTATGGGAAAAAAACTTAAGTGCAAGCAGAATGTAATATTTTTGGACACTTAATTGCATGCTATTTATAATTAAACTAAGATTAATTTACAATTAACTTAAGTACATCTTTACATGTGTACACTAAAAGTGTACTTCTGAATGTGCTGACAAGCATTAAACTAAAATATACTTGAATGCCATTTCTTCAGAAACTGGTATGTTATGTATTTAAATATATTTATAATTACACATTTGTTTGAATACGGTTGCCATACATTTAAAATATATTACTTTAAAGGTAATATCAAATAACAGTTACAATTTTAATCAAGTATTTTACTTGTGCTTTATTATGTCAAAATCAAAATAAGTGTAGTTCTTTAAAGCATGACAAATAATTATTAAAACATAATCATTTAAAATGTACTGTGATAATTAAAAATGTGACATTACAAAATGCACTTTTTAAAAGAGTCCACTTTTTACTTGAGTGTGTTAAAAACTGTTATAAGCATACACTTTAAGGCTTTTATTTAGTAATATGTTTATATTTTAGTATTATATCCTATTATAGTTTTTAGCTTTTATTTAAAGGGTTAGTTCACCCAAAAATGAAAATTAGGCTGTGTTTTACTCACCCCCAATGCATCCTAGGTGTATATGACTTTCTTCTTTCAGACGAATCCAGTCGGAGTTATATTAAAAATTGTCTTTGATCAAGCTCTATAGGTGCACTCAGTGGGTGTTGCATTGCTTCTGTCCAAAAGACGTGAAATAAAAAGCACCTTTCCATAAAAAAAGTCTCTGTAGCGAATCGATGCGTTTTTGTAAGAAAAATATCCATATTCAAAACGTAATAATCACTTTAATGTAGCTTGCGCCAACAGTTGTACACGGAAGCAGCTCCGGGCGGATGACATATGAGTTCAAAGCTGACCTCATACGTCATTCCCTCGGAACTGCTTCTGTTTACAACAGTGAGCGCAAGCTAGATTCAAGTGATTATTATGTTTTGAATATGGATATTTTTCTTATAAAAATGCATCGATTCGCTACAGGAGGCCTTTGTTCAACCCCCGGAGCCGTGTGAGACACTTTTTTTTATGCATGGGCGCCTTTTATTTCACGTCTTTTGGACTGAAGCAATGCAACACCCGCTGAGTGCAACGATAGAGCTTGAAAGATCAAAGACAATTTTTTATATAACTCCGACTGGATTCATCTGAAAGAAGAAAGTCAAATACACCTAGGATGCATCGGGGGTGAGTAAAACACAGCCTAATTTTCATTTTTGGGTGAACTAACCCTTTACTACTTTTATTTAGTACTTTTTTTTAATGTGATTCTGTCATTTACATTCGTTTTTTAATATTACCATTTAGGTTTGATTTATATTTATTTCAGTTTTAGGCTTATATTATCGGCAAGTACAGTTAAAAAAAAACACTCTTTAGGCGTGAAGTGCACTATGAGTGCACATTTAATACAATTAAGCACATTTCTTTTCTTTTTTTTTCACAAGGGATGGTCTGATGTAAATCACCATTCTGGGGTCAGTGTCCTTCAGTAAACTGCTCGATCTCTGCATGGCAGCCAGAATATCACGCTGTGAAGAAATAAGGAGTGTTTTAGCTAAAGGGGGTGCTTTAACTGAACTCAACCACTAGCTGATCAGGCCACTATGTTGCATAACTGTCCCACACAGCCCCTGTCAGACACGCTATAAAAAGAGCCTCTTTCTTCAGATTTTGCACTGCATCCAGGCCCCGTCTGCTACACCATCTAATCAAGCCTGAAACCCACCTCGAGCAACCATGCAGTCTGCCGATGCCAAGCTCAGCCGAAGCTCCCTGCAGCTGGCCCTGAGGCGCTACAGCACAGCAGTGCACAATATGGAGCAGACCATCCTGCTTCCCAGCCTCCTCAGAGACGTGCCGTACGACAACGATCCAGACTGTGAGGCCGCCGACCACAGCATGGACCTGTATGAGTACTACCTTCTGCTGAAAGCCATCAAGAACACGGTGGAGAGTGGCCTCATCGCACATGACGACGTCAAGGCCAAGAGTCACGCCACCCTGCACAAAGTTCTGGAGCCCCTGCTGGAGGCCGAGCTCGAGGCGCTTTTCCATTTCCATCTGCAAGGCCTGTTCACAGTCATGGCAACGCTCACGAAGAAGTCCCAGAACTTGACGGAGAAATATTTGGACATCGTTGGCATCAGTCGTTAGGATTCAGCACATCTTGTGGAAAAATCCATGCTGGGATAGGCTGTAATTACCTGGAAAGCTGTTTATGTCCTTGTCACTCTCTATGTGACATGCAATAAAAAATATAAAAAATCATTTTGTTTTAGAAATGTATTTAAAATAATTTCTTCTTTAATATTTAAATTAATGTTTTTCGTCCATTACATTTGGCTGCTTGTACTATTAGCTTGCATTCTGTGTAATGATCGAAAGCGAACAATTATAAATCCCTTTGGAAATGTCTACATTTTAAAATAGACAAACGGCTTCCCTTTAAATATTAGGGTTTGCAGTGCAAGTTATGTGATTTGTTTTTTAATGGAACACAATTTTGTAAATTACATACACAAGATAACCGAAATGCTTAGACTTTCACTTGATGCAATTGTACATAATGTGCATATCATATATTGTAAACGGAATTCACAAAATGTCAGTCAAAATTACCAGAACATGTGCTTGTGAAATCATCAAGATGTAACCAATTTAAGCCAATAATAAAAGGCAACTGTTGTAATATTGCCAAATTACTGAACGTACACTAGTGCTATATTTGAGATTTTATTAATATCTTTTGAATTGGCGTTTATTCTTATATTTTTAGTTAACATTTGAATTTTGTTTGCTTTTGTCATTTTAACATTACTCTTTAAATTAAGTTTTTATTTCAGTTTATTTTAGAATTTTAGTGCTTCATCTTAAACTTATTTCAGTTAGCTGCCGAAGTAACATATCTGGTTTTAATTTTTCTTTTTAGTTATCTATAATTTATTTTATTTCAGCTTTATTTCAATTAACAAAAATGTTTTTTTAACAGTTTTTGTTAACGATAATAACCCTGACGTACACAGACACACTATACATGAAGTCCCGTAATAATATTACGTGCTCCTTTCACTGGAATAATTCAGTTTTTAAATATGAATTTATGTCAAACCAGAAGTAGATGGAATCTTCCAAAGTAAACCAAGAGCAACTGAATCTGTTGCAAAAGTCCTGCGATTGCACATTATTGCATGAGACAAGTTATCGGTACAATATCCATGCCAAAGTCTAGCTGAAATCATTTGTGACATGAAAACACAGCCTCAAATGCCATGCTGTTCAGTGCTGTCACAATTATTTGTACGGTCATTTCAGAGATTCTAAGGACCTTGTTTATGCATGTCTTTGCAACATGCTTCCTGACAACATGCCAAACACACTTTAAAGGACATTAAAATGCATAATCAGTATCCTACATACGCATATGTACAAGACTGAACTTAAATTGTGAAAATAAAAGTACTGTCATTCTAAACCATATATATCTTCCATTGAATACAAATGAGACATTTTGAAGAGTTTCTTGCATTTTTTTTAGGGTGGGTAATATAAAATTAATATAATTATTATCAGCAGTTCTGATGCTGCGTTCAAGTCCTCCTGGGACGTTCGTACTAAAGAGTTGACAAGTCGTAATTACGACGTCAGGTGCGTTCAAGTCCGTTTAGTCGGCACAAGATGGCGGTGTACCTTCTTTTAATAAATTACAAGAAAATACAACAGGGTCTGCATTTTTTTTACATGGATTTCATTAACTAGCTGTGTAACAAGAACATGACCAATTTAAGTTTATAGGACAACTAAACTATCAATTTAAACAAAAATTTACCGTCAACTACAGACGTTGCATCCATCGATTCCGCCATGTTTCTCATTGACATGCCTCCAACTCGGAAACTTGGGGCTTAAAGAAAATTTCAAGTTTCCCAATCATAATAACGACTTTGTGGGGGTGTTCATGTGCGTTCAACTCGTAAATACAATCTATCCAACATGACTTGAACACACCATTAATCCTAATCCTCGCGACACCCCCGCTCTGCATATTTTGCATGTCTTTCACATCTGATTTAGATAACCAGCTCGTTACGAGCTCCATGAATGAACTGTGTTCCGATTGACATGTTCCCAACATAGTGTTCACTGTTCTCTGCTCCCTGCACACAGGGGTCATATGATGCGATTTCAAGTTTTCCTTTCTCTTTGGAGTGTTACAAGCTGATTGTGCATAGATGAGATCCCTGAAGTTGCAAAGACTAAAGTCTCAAAACCAAAGAGATATTCTTTATCAAAGTTAAGACTGCCACGCCCCCCTAAAACGGCTCGTTCTAACACGCCCCCACATATCTACCTCACTATGTGGAAATATTTGCATAATGCCGCCCAAATGTTCACGCAAAGAAAGAAGGCGTGGTTTCAGTAACCGCAGTTAGTGTTGAAGCAGCCATGTCAGGGAGACGCTGTGTGTTTCTAGGCAAAAGCAAAAGCACTTTATTTGGCCTTCCGAAAGTAGATGCATTTAGGAATCTTTAAGATTACTTACAACAGAACAGCAATGCATTTTATGGATGACCGTTTCGTGAACCTAGGAGAGGAGGCAATTCTGACTTTGCTATGACAATCTGGCGCTTCTGAATCAGCTTCTATTTTGTTATTAGTTTAAGTATTTGCTATTGACTGTTCAAATGCGGCGTTTGTGCATCGTGTGTGTGTGTGTGCGCGAGCGAGCGAGCGAGAGAGAACGGTGTGTGTGTGTGTGTGTGCGAGCGCATGACCCCTTTAATGTGGTAATGTAATCTGGTAATGTAAAAACTAATTATGCATTGGACAAAAAATATTTTAAAAATCATATTTTTTTCAGACATTTTAATGACATTGAGGACACAACTTAATAAATCAATATAAGAGTGTTTATGACGGTAAAGTCTGTTCAACCAGATTTGCAACAATAGTCTTCACATTCCTTGTGGCAAGTACATCCTTTCAACGAATTGGATGAAAAGGCTCCACGATTTCAGCAAATGTCTTCAGTGCTGGTTAGAGGAAGTGAAATAAAATAGTTGAAAGATTGAAAGTATTGTGTCAACAACATACACAATCATTTTAATATAAAGAAAACCTCAAGACACTGGATTTCCATGTGCTGTTACCTTTCTCTGGAAATTCCTCAGGATGCAGCCGGATGTACTCACTCATGTCCCGGTCCAATGTGGCATATTTATAATTCTCAAACTTTGTGAGATGATAGCCAATGAACCATCCAACAGTTATGAACAGCGCTTGGCGGTGAACACCTGTTTGAAAAACAAAACATGTCTGCATAATCCAATTATGCTTGCTGATTTTTACTGGTGAGGGGCATTACATTTGTTGATGTTTTTTGAAAAAATGGTATGACATCTGCATGAATTTTTCGTGACATTTTGTCAGTTAGATACATAGCGCTATATGCTAGTGATATGCAGTCACTAGCAATATTATTAGCTTAAGTGATAAGGAGTGCAATAGCAATTCCACTGCTCTCGATAATAAAATGTAGCAATCATGTAAATATCAAGAATGTGGTATTCATTCAGCACCATATATATATGTTGCCACCACAGTTGATTTGTGTAAGGGTTGTTGTAAGTAACGTTAAACTCAACGAGGAACGCATTATTTCGTTGTTATTATGAAATTAAACGACAATGTGTTGATGTTAGAGATTGAGTTTATTATAAATGCATTGGTGTAGCTGTGTTCTCACCGGCTTTGAGCGCAGGCCTGCGGTTTAAACTGTTGTGCAGCATCGCGGTCGCCCAGCCGCACAGCCCGAACCACACCGAGTTTCTGTTGACGATCCCCGGAGGAGGCAAAACTCTCGCCTCGTCAGGCAGAAGCCCCATTGTGACAAATATCAGGCTCGTCTAAAGTCAGAACCCCTTTGACGCTCAACTTTCCATGTCACCTCCTAGAGGAAATCAAGGGCAATGTTTAGGCGGAAATGAAAACCGGTCCGGGGAGAAACACATGGCGGATTTACAAGTGTTCCGGAGAGAGCATCTGCTCGATCTAAATGTGAAAATCGCTTCTAAGACCCACTTCAAGCTTATCTGCCCCTACTGTGGCTAGGTCAGCAATTCCTGCTTGGCTTTTCCCAATGCCTTTGATTGATATCCAGTTGCATAAAGAAAAACATAACAATGAAACAAGTGTATTAGAAAGTTCAGCTGTACAGAAATATATAGATCTTACATATTATAGTGTAGTTCAAACATACACTGATGGTTCAAAGGATCCAGACTCTGGGAAAACAGCTGTAGCAGTATATATTCCCCTATTCAAAATTAAAATGTCAAAAAGAACTTCAGATCATATTTCTGTATTTACTGCAGAACTAATAGCAATCTTACTAGCACTTCAGTGGATAGAAGAAATTCAAGCAACTAAGGCAGTGATAGTGGGGAAGTCGTGGCCTAATGGTTGGAGAGTCGTACTCGTAACCCAAAGGTTGCGAGTTTGAGTCTCAGGTCCGGCAGGGATTGTAGGTGGGGGGAGTGAATGTACAGTGCCCTCTCCCACCTTCAATACCACGACTGAGGTGCCCTTGAGCAAGGCACCGAACCCCCAACTGCTCCCCACGCCGCAGCATAAATGGCTGGCCGCCATTTTTGTGTGTTCACGGTGTGTGTGTGTGTGTGTGTGTTCACTGCTGTGTGTGTGCACTTTGGATGGGATAAATGCAGAGCACTAATTCCTAGTATGGGTCACCATACTTGGCCGCATGTCACGTCACTCACTTTAGATACAGATTCTCTTTCGGCACTAAACAGTTTGTCAAGTGGAAAATCATTAGTAATGCAGACATGATAAATGAAGTAATGCAGAGTCTTTTTAGAATAAGACAGTATTCTGCTAAATTTCGTGTGGCAGAACATATAGGTGTGAAAGGAAATGAGGAGGATTTGGCTAAACAGGCATGAAATCATTCACAAATAGACATTGAAGTGGCATTAAGTAAAACAGAAATAAAAGTAATAATAGCGAAAGAAATACAGGAAATTTGGCAGAATGAATGGAAAGAAGGAACAAAAGGTAGACATTTATACTGCATACAAGAAAAAGTTGGTTCAGAGAGAAGAAGATTTGGAAACAGGAAAGAGGACGTTATAATATCAAGAATGCGTATTGTTCACTTTAGATACAGATTCTCTTTCGGCACTAAACAGTTTGTCAAGTGGAAAATCATTAGTAATGCAGACATGATAAATGAAGTAATGCAGAGTCTTTTTAGAATAAGACAGTATTCTGCTAAATTTCGTGTGGCAGAACATATAGGTGTGAAAGGAAATGAGGAGGATTTGGCTAAACAGGCATGAAATCATTCACAAATAGACATTGAAGTGGCATTAAGTAAAACAGAAATAAAAGTAATAATAGCGAAAGAAATACAGGAAATTTGGCAGAATGAATGGAAAGAAGGAACAAAAGGTAGACATTTATACTGCATACAAGAAAAAGTTGGTTCAGAGAGAAGAAGATTTGGAAACAGGAAAGAGGACGTTATAATAGCAAGAATGCGTATTGGGCATTGTTTATTAAATCAGTGCTTACATAGAACAGGAAAACATGAAAATGGAAATTGTGACAAATGTGGGTTAACAGAAACTGTAGAACATGTACTTATAAAATGTGAGGCTTATGAAAGAGAACGTTTCCAACTAAGTCAAGCTTTAAGGTATCTGGAAATAAATGATCTGTCACTCCAGGTTTTGTTAAGCGATGGATCTAAGCAATCAACAAGATATCGCAAATTAGTTATTTATTTAAAGGAAACAGGATTGATTAATAGGATTTAGGATACCGGTTTTTCTCTACGGTTTTTGCTTTTGTGGGTTATTTATTTATTTATTAAAATAATGTATTTTTTATTTTTGGGGTTTTTTGTGTTTTTTATTTATTTATTTATTTTTGTTAAATAGGTAGCTCTTGTTTCACACTCCTTTCCAGTAGGTGGCGGGAATGCACCTTTTAAGTTGGGTTGCCAACCGCCATTAGAAGAAGAAGAAGAAGAAGAAGAAGAAGAAGAAGAAGAAGAAGAAGAAGAAGAAGAAGAAGAAGAAGAAGAATTCAAGCTTATCTTATTTTGTACAGGTCTTTACTCCCGGACCAATATATTTAAACTATATGCCAAATATATGTTGTAAACAGTGAAGCTCAATTAAATATTTAAAAAAAATTTTTTTTTTTGAAATTGGAAATATATTTCGTTCCAACTTTCATTTAATTTTAAATATGTATTTCAGGGGCAAGAACTTATAGGCTAAATGCAAATGTGGAATGGAATAGCCTACTCGAGATCACAACTAAATTTATATAATGTGTCATTATTTTATATATTGTAATGTATTTGATGTATTTTTAAAACACTGTAAAGTTTGTTCTTTGCTGATTTTTTTTGTCAACTGTGTTATATTTTCACACCTAGACAACAAAAAAACATTTATTGGTTGAAAATGTATTTATTTAATTTAAATATATTTATTTATAACTATACTAGCACCTAATTATTTTAGCAAATATATTTTTTGGGTAATTTGCAACTATATTTTGAAGTACAAACGGAGATATTTAAACTCTGACTCTGATATCTAACTTATTATGACTTATTTTTTCCTGCTTTTCTGTTTTGCCATTCCCACTGGCGAACGTTGAACTACAAATCCCAGAATGCAGCTGCGATGTTTTCCGGACTCGGCTTCCACTGGGGAAGCAGCATGACGTCATTGTCAAAAAACCCGAGGAAACACTGGAGCCGAAAATCTGCCGAGGTTGCTGTTGGCGCTGCACGATTGCTATCATCGTTTAGATTAAAAGCCTGAAGAAAAGCCTGAATGCATTCGGAATAATAGAAGCAGTGGGGTGAATCCCCAGTGTTTGGTAAGTGTAAAGATGATTTAATGTGACCTTTAATGTGTAGAGCATCCTGCTAGCGCATGGAGAACATTGTGCCTGCTGGTTTTATTTCATCATAAAATAAAATGTGCAATTTTCACTATTTCTAAAGGGTCTAAATATAAAGGAAGTGTATTAGGCCACATCTATGTCTTTTGCTGTGCTCAGTGATATTGCATATCAGATTTCAGTTTTCTGCTTAGAGATATTGCATGTCAGTTTTTCTTTTTTTTCCCATCCATACACAATAGGGATCAATAAAGTATATCTTTTCTGTTCTGTTATTTAATATCCTTATTTTGTTCTGTAAAGTACAAATTACAGTCATAATGTATGTAATTTAAGAAATAATGAAGTTACATTTCATTTTTGTCAACGTGTTGATTTCTGGATGAAAATGAAATCCAGTTTAGAAGGTTGTTATTTATTCTATGAGAGTAAAAAGTTGTGTTAATGCTCTTGCTGAACATACCATAAATCGTGTGCAAAAATATAATTGTGGCTGAGCACAAACGCATAATTTTGTAATAATTACCAAATTAATGTGGAGATAAAGTATTTTTGCAGTGGTGATGAAGTTATTTCTTTAATCAAAAATGTATTGTTTATGCTCAACTTACAGTTTTCAGTTGTATTAGTTCATAACAATAATAATAATGGTAATAATAATACAATTAATATATATATGTTTTATATTAATTTAATACAAAATGAATGTGAGATCAGTTTTTGCAGTGGAGATGACACGGTTGTGTAATGTTCGAATGTTTATTCATGCAGCTAATTAAGTTCACTTTTTATTGAATTAAAATGATTTTTTAAACGGGGCCTGTTTATGCTCACCGTACACATTTCCAATTGTATTTCTTTAAAATTCCTTATGCTTGCATCCACCACAGTTCTTAATTAGCTGTTGAAAGTATGTTTGCGTGTATGCATGTGTGTTGACAGGCCTCTGGGAGTTGTTCTTTATTCCTTGTGTCTTTATTGCGGTCCTCTCAGCATCCTGCCATAGGCCTTGGCAACAGCAGCGTTTGAGCACATGCATAGCAGCTTCTCCTATAGCAACACTTCAGAAACAAACACTGCTAATGTGTGTAGTGAAATACAGAGGCACTGTTGATCGAATAAATTAAAGAATGGACAGCAAAAAAACGGTCCCTAGAGACATCAGGCATAGTTCATTCCCTCGTTTGTTCTCAGTAATACATCACTGGTGTCATTGAAATGTTTGTTCTGTAAGGGCTGCTGCGGCTCTTTTACGTCAAACAGTGTTTTATCAGAGGGTTGTTGCTTAGCCATGTATAGATTGCATTGCAGTTCTTAACACCCACATCTCTCTCTCTTCATTCATGTTCCCTCAGCTGAGCATGAGCATGGAGGATTATGATTACTTATTCAAAATTGTGCTGATTGGAAATGCAGGAGTGGGCAAAACCTGCCTCGTCCGACGCTTCACTCAGGTGTGTGGAATAACTCATAGCATTATCTTGGCTATAACAAAACAACACTAGAGGTTTGCAGTGTGTAAGTGTTTTTACACAATTTGCAGTCCCTAATTTCATAATAATCGTTTCATAATAAATGCATTTCTAGGGGCTCTTCCCTCCTGGACAAGGTGCCACCATTGGAGTTGATTTCATGATCAAAACAGTGGAAATAAAAGGAGTGAAAGTGAAGGTGGGTAAGCCTTGTAGAATTTTGAGGTAACTGTTAGGGAATTTTATTGGAATATAGTGGTTATTGCTTAGTCTTCTAACGATTCGATTGGATTCACAAGTTTCAAAATTAGTGTTCTAAAGCAGCGGTTCTTAATACTGTTCCTCGCGTCCCCCTGCTTTGCACACGCTCTGCATCTCTCTCTCTCTCTCTCTCTCTCTCTCTCTCTCTCTCCTTAATCAGGATAAAACTGTATATTAAAAGCTCCTACGACATCACCTGTGAAGATTCCTTCCGGTGCCTTCCTGAGTGGCTGAGGGAGATCGAGCAGTATGCCAACAACCAAGTAGTGACAATCTTAGTAGGTGAGTATTCGAGTTCTAATTGAACCATTTAAAAATTATAAAACAAATCATATGTCTTTTAGCTGTTCTTTTTTTTTTGTTTTGCTACAGTATATAGAGTGATGATATAAATGTCAAAATCAATGACATATTGTCCTCTATCGGTGAAGGTCATGTTTCCTTAAGTATTAACGTATGTATTATAAATTAATTATAATACAACCGGAGCACATGCCGCTGAGGTGAGGGGTGGGCACTAGAGGCGGTTTAGCCAATCACAACACACTGGGCTAGCTAACCAATCAGAGCCCATCGCCTATTTCTGAGGATGGGGCTTCATAAAATCAGGAAATGATCAGCGCGTTTTTCAGAGAAGGGACAGAGCGGAGTGGAATAAAGATAAATTATGTGAAAAATAATGCTTTTTTTTTTAAAACTAAGCATTAACACATGTTAGACTGCACCCCATAAACACAATCAAGCCTAGAATAAAACCAGTGAACCACCCCTTTAATTAAATAATATCTTCTTGTAAATTTATCATCATTTAAACATCTGATAATCAATTTATTAGATTTCTCACCTGATTATATATTGGCTTAAATTGCCTCTACGGAAGTATCTAATAGTAAAATGCATTTACAAATGCAATGATAGAATACATTTAAAAAACAGAAGTCGTTTTAAAGAATTTTGTTGTGCTAAGTATCAACTTTTTACTAATTTTCGGTAAAAGCCTTATAGGAGTGTTGGACTTTCAGGGCTGTGACTCTGAGATCTCCTCCATGGTAACAGAGGCCCAGAGGAGGCTTGCAGAGTGTATGAACGCGGCTCTCAAAACCATCGGTTTTCTGGCGGCAGTGAATGGGACTGATCTTCTTTTGAATGAACATGGTTCAGAAATCATAGACAACATGGGTACATTTCTTGTGCAATAGCTGCCGTTTACAGCCCAATAGTAGATCTGACATTTAAAACCAGTCAGAATAAAAAAATACAACACCATTCTCTTTGTCTTTAGAGGTCTGTGGTGGCTTCTTTGCAGAATGGGATTCGTCAGAGTGTGACCGATCTTCTCCTCATTGGTCAGAAGATCACCACAGAGATGCATCGAGATCTTTCATCTGCTCATATACCAGTAAGTTCTCTTAATAAATTATTTACTTGATAAAATGGGATCTTTATTGATCCAGTTAATATTGAACTATAAATGTATACATTAATAACTGATATGGATGTGTACTGTAACAACATTTCATAATATAAATTCTAATATATTTCACAGATTCAGAAATCCAGCCCCATGGATTTCACCAGCACTCTGCAGAGCTACTTCCGCTGCTGTTTGTCGGTACGCCTAACAAACAGCTGTTGCTTGTCATTGAGTGTAAAATGTTTTGGATTGATGACCAGCCCAACAATGACTGAGGGAGACAGCGCTTGTAAAACGCCAAACCTGAGCGGCCTTATCGCACGTCTTGGGTCGTTTTGCTGTTTACAAAATAAATGGTTTGAGTGGAGTGTCATCTGTCACCTTAATGTGGCTGTAACTGTTATCTTCAATACACAAACTACTTGTTGTTTGTCATTTCTCCGATCACAAATTTAGACATGGTTTTATGTTTACGCGGCACGATGTAAAAAGACAGTATAAGTCATTATAATATGTAAATATGTCCCCACTGGATGCAACAAATGCCTCATTTATAATGGGTTTTAATGTATTTGTCTCGTCGCTCTGGCCGGACACGTCATCACAGTATGTATGAAAAAATATGATATTTAGGCAAAATAAGAAAAATCTACACATCTTCATTCTTTTCAAAAGTTTTCACCCCCTGAAATGATAAATTCAACTATTATTTTCTCTTGTGGACTATATGCAAACATCTTTTATGTGAAATATCTTATTCAGGTCAGCATCCATCCATCCATCCATCCATCGGTTGGTCACAATGCGCTCTGTTAACCAATGCAGGAAATTGTCTGTCAACATTAGTTTAATATGTTTTAGGATCTGTTTGTCACTGAACAAACTGACTGGCTTACGTTAGACTGTCTATCTGTCACCAGATACTTAATGTCCTTGTAACCAGAGCATTTGAGCTCTGTTCACTGCTGTTGTTGCTTGCAGGGAATAAGATAGACCTGGCCGATAAGCGAGAAGTCCATCGGCAGCGAGCAGAGGAGTTTGCGGAGGCGCAGAGCATGCTTTATCTGGAGACCTCTGCCAAAGAATCGGACAACGTGGAGAAGCTCTTTCTGGATCTGGCCTGCAAACTGATCCGCGAGGCCAAGCAAAACACGTTGGACAACAACGACTCCACTGCCATGCCTGGAGAAGGGAAAAACATCAATTACTTGAGCTGCTGCAGCATGAACTAGTAGACTTGGCCACTCTGTCTGGCTGAGGGGGGCAACATGGATTGCATACAAAGTGGTTGTATTGTTGGTAACCACTGTGTAGTTGCAGTGGTTACTGTTTTCCACTGTTGTCGAAGTCTAGTTCTTTTACCATTCTTAAATCCCTGGGTATTTTAAAACATTCTGAAAAAAACACAATATCAAGATGATGCTGCTTTTAAAGGTGGGTCTGAAGCTCCGAGATGCTTTTGGCCAGATAAAAGGGCCTTGTTATACAAAAATGCTTGCTGATAGGTCAGACAATGAGATTTTCTACACTCATGTACAATGCAAAAGTTGGGATTTCCCTGCTGACTTGAGAGCCAATGTATTTGTCATATTAGAGATTTGAAAAAGAAATGAGAATGCAGATCTTCATCAGCAATCTTACTCACTTGAAGGACTAGTTCATCCAAAAATAAGCATTCCGTCATCATTTACGTACCCTCATGTTGTTCCAAACCCATATGACTGACTTTTTCTGTGGAACTCAAAAGAAGATGTTTTGAGGAATGTTCATGAAGCTCTTTTCCAACCGAAAGTATGCAGTGACCAAAGCAGTCCATATGACTTGTGCATTATATTCCAAGTCTTCTGAAGCCATATGAGGCTTACGGGTTTGAAATGACATTAGGGTGAGTAAATAATGACAGAGTTATTATTTTAGGATGAACTGCTCCTTTAAGACTCATTGCCACAAAATTGGTGTGTTTGTGTGCACATTTATTATTCGCACAAAATGCACTTCTTGATTGCTTGCGAGATTGTTTGAGGTTGCTTATGCATGCGTTTTTTTTTTTTAAACGGAGAAGTCAATAATGCAAACAGACAGCCAGCTCCCTTAAATAATCTGTGACAGGAAGATGTGAAGTAAAACCACCATTTGTCAGGTATTCAGTTTATAAGAATATAAACTCCCCTTACTGCTTGCATGGTAGTTTGGTTGTTAATACTCAATGAAGGCCATGTCATTTTGAGAAGTCATAGCAAAAACCCAATGTGCCTCTGCCATTTGCATCCTGTCGTCATACATTACATAGCACTGGGGAATCTCATGGAGCACATGTTTGGGTCATATTTAACCCAAAAATATCACTTTAACCGGGTCGATATATTAGTTTGGATGTTTTAATATAGTTTATTTCAAGGATGATTCTCATTAGACTCCCAGTACTGCAAAATAATACTGCCCAGTCACAATTATATTTTTTAAGATTTTTATTATTTTCACTGTACAACATACAGTATACTCCCGTAATGTATACACACTTTGCAGTATGTTTTTTTTTTTGCATTACAATAATAACGGAAAGAAAACATTTCCTTAATTAAATAACTGCAAAAAATTTAATTGTTCATAAAATAAGCTTTTTATTTTTATTTTTATTTTTTTATTTTGAGGTGAAATGCACTACCATTCAAAAGTTTGGGGTCAGTATGATTTTCTTTAAAGAAATAATTATATTCTGCAAGGATGCATTCAATTAATAACAAAATAATTAATGACAGACATTTATTATGTTATAAATGATTTCTATTTCAAATAAATGCTGTTCTTATGAACTTTTTTCGATGATAAAAAAGTATCACACGTTCCACAAAATATTAAGCAACTGTTTTCATTAACAATAATTAAGAAGTATTTCTTGAGCACCAAATCAGCATCTTAAAATAGTTTCTAAAGCATAATGTGACACTGAAGAATGGCGTAATGATAGTAATAATATATATTGTAATCATATTTCACAATATCAGTGTTTTTACTGTAATTTGATCAAATACATTCAATCTAGGTAGAGATTTCTTTTTAAAACTTAAAAAAAAAAAATCTTACCGACCCCAAACTTCTGAATGGTAGCGTATGGCGTGTTCTTGGCAGGTTTCATGAGATCATCCGGTCTAGATTTTTCAGATCACAATTTTAGTTGGCTAAGCTCTAGATATTGTCCTTTAGTGTCTTTGCACATTATATGTTAAAAATTAAAAATAATGGACTCAATGTTTTAATGCACTGTCTAAAACGCTTACTTCATTCCATATTGGTAGCCC